AAAGTTAATATACACAGAAATTCGTCAGCCGAATATCTAATTAAAGCACTTTTTAAGGAGGTAACCTATTATGGAAAGTTTATTAATCTTAGGAATAACAATATTCGAGTTATTTTGCGGACGTTCCACATAGTCGACAATGCGGTTTGCTGTTTTGAGACATTTCTAAATATGATCCGCATGGCCATCTTCATAAGAACTAATATACAAAACTCATTTTTTTCGGTAAATTCTATTTATAGTTCAGTATAGTTCAGCATATTAAGGGTAGTAGGCAATGCCTTTGAAGACCCTATTGAAAGCAGTTTACATAAGATATCCAACATAAAGATGTTATCATAAAGTAGTGAGTAACATATGCACATGTAAAATTTTGTTATCTGTATTTATGCGCAAAACGTTCAACAGGTACCTTCCATCGAGTACGTAGTTGAGAGTCGCCCATTGTGCTCGCTTTCTTCGTCAGCGAAGCCAGCTCTTGCAGTACTTTTGCTGGTATTTGGTCTGTATCCGGAGACTTAGCCTCGTTAAGCGCAAGAAGTTCCTTCCCCACACCCTCTTCTGTGAAATGGAGGTCCTCCATGATTGTGTCACTACTCCCCGCATGGAAATCCGCCGGACTAAAATGCAGTTCCTCGGCGGAAACGGATGCGAAAAACTTACATGATGGTGATAGTGACGTCGACGACGATGATGACGTGGATTTTGATGATGATTGTCATGTTGATGATGATGAAAATTATGGTGACAACGACGACGATGACGACGGTGCTGATGATGCTGGTGATGCTGATGATGACGGCGACGACGACGACGATGATGGTGACAATGAAGAGGATTATGACGATGATTGTGATGATGTTGATGACGGTGACATCGATGAAGACGATGATGGTGATGATTTTGCTGATGATTACGATGATGGTGATGGTAGTGATGACGATGTTGCTGTCCATGATGGTGACGATGCTGACGATGATGATGATGATGATATTGATGTTGACGAGGACGACAATGATGATGACCCTGATGATGATTTTGGTGCTGATGACGATGATGTCGATGATTATGATGATGATGGTGACGGTGATGACGACGACGACGATGAGGAAGATGATGACGATGATGATTGTGACAACGACGGCGATGATGATGATGGTGGTGATGACGATGATGGTAATTGTGATGACGATGATGAGGACGATGATGATGATGATGATGATGATGATGGTGACATCGACGACGACTACGAATTTGATGATTATGCTGATGACGACGAAAATTTTGGTGGTGACCAGGACGATGACGATGGTGATGCTGATGATGATGTCGATGATTATGAAGATGATGATGGTGACGGGGACGACGACGATGAGGCAGATGATGATGATGATGATCGTGACATCGACGGCGATGATGATCATGATGATAGTGATAGTGATGTTGATTATGATGACAGTGATGATAGAGAGATTACGACGACGACGACGATAATGATGAGGATTATAATGATGATTGAGAAAATGATGATGATTATGAGGACATTGATGACGATGATGATGATGATCATGATGGTTATGATGGTGACATCGACGACGACGATGATGGTGATGATTATGCTGATGATGATTACAAGGTTGACGGTGGTGGTGATAATGATAATGATGATGTTGATGGCGACGATGATGATGAGAGTGAAAACGACGACGATGATGATGATTTTGATGATCGTGACGATGACAATGAAGATGATGTTGGTCACAATGACGACGACGATAATGATGATGATGAGGATTACGATGACGATGATTGTGATGACGATGATGATGACAATGACGAAACTGATGAGGACGAGGACGATGGTTGTGATGGTGATGATTTTGACGACGACGACGATGATACTGATGATGAAGTCGATGATG